CGGGATGTACACTTCAGGCCCGCTGTAAAAGCTCTCATGGGTCCGTGATATGTGCATTCGTCTGTTTCATCTGGGCAAGAGTGGCATTGAGTGCCGTACAGCAAGGCCCCTGCGTACCTATACTATCATGGGCCCGGCCCTGCTGGGTGGAGGTATGGCCGTGGGCTGCAGGCGGTGAGCCGCCCGTGTGAGGTGTGGGAGCCCCGAGGGGCGTGTGAGCGGAGGGCGTGAGTGGGGAAGCGTGGAGCGAGGCGTGGTGACGTGAGCGATGGGTTGTGATGTGGTGGACAGCGAGGGGGCGCATGGTGGAGCCGGAGGGGCGTGTGAGGCGTGAGCCCGAGGGGCGGGTCTGAGCGTGGAGCGAGGGCGTGTGAGCGTGAGCGAGGGCGCCATGTGAGCCGACCCCTGGGGATGGGTGGCGAGGCGTGTGAGCGGTGAGCCGAGGGCGTGTTGGAGTGGTGTGAGCGTGGAGGGCGCGATGTGGTGAGCGTGTGAGCGTGAGCGAGGGCGTGTGAGCGTGAGCGAGGGGCGCCATGGTGGAGCGAGGGCGTGGTGGAGCTGTGAGCTGAGGGCGTGTGGGGGGTGCTGAGCGTGGAGCCGAGGGCGTGTGGAGCGGTGGAGCCAGAGGGGCGCATGGTGAGCCGGCGGGGTGGTGAGGCTGGTAGCGGAGGGGGTGTGAGGCGTTGGACAACGAGGGCCGTGCTGAGCGTGAGCGAGGGCGCATGTGAGCAGCGCCTGGTGAGCGTGACGAGGGCGGGTGTGTGGAAACAGGGGGCCAGCAGGCCAGCGGGAACATGGGGTGAGTGTGAGTGGATGTGTGAAGGGCGACTCACACACCATGCTGGGCGTGTGGGAGTACGGCGTTTGTGGAGTGTGTACCTGAGTGTGTACCAGAGTGACCTTGGCGAGTGTGTCAGCGTGGGCCACAGGAGTGCTCCTGGGAACGAGCGTGAGAGGAGATTGAGTGTGGGAATGCGCGTGTGGAAGTTTGTTGAGGTGGAGGTAGTATCGGCGGATGTGGGCTCATATGTGTGCCCAGCGAGAGTGTGTGTGTGTGTGTGTGTGTGTGTGGAGAGAGAGAGAGAGACAGAGAGAGAGAATGGGCGAGTGTGGCGCAGTCTGTCATGACGGGGCAGTGAGGCCCGAGCCCAGGCTGAGCCCAGAGCACACCCGGCGAGGGAAGTGTGGCCGAGGCTCCCACCTGAAGATTGGCCCAGTCCTCAGGTTTCACTCATGACCCTGTGACATCAGCAGCAGCAGCTGTCCCCGCCGGCCCGGCCCCCCGGCCAAGTCCCCCAGAGTTCCAGCCCCAGCCCGAGGTGGGCACGGCGCTCCGGGCTTGTCAGCGACCGCTCTGCTCCCGTCCAATAGTGAGTACTGCGCCCCTCCGCGCCTGCCCGGGCGGGGACCCCGAGGAGCAGGCCACCCTGGCCCCAGCCCCAGCCTGGCGCCGAGGAAGCCACCACTTTGCTCTGGGTACTTCTGACCTCCTGCCCACGCGGGGCTTTGCTGTCCCGGGCATCGCTCTGCTCGGCTGCCCCTGCCGAACCATCTTGTGCTCTGTCCCTCTATCTGTCCCCAAACTTGCCTCTCTCTGTCCGCAAACTTGCCTCTCTCTGTCCGCAAACTTGCCTCTCTCTCTTGGTCATCTGCTCTCTCTGTCCCTGCCTGGTGGGCTGTTCCTGCCCTCAGCAAGGTTCCTCACCCCGGTCACAAGTGGCCCCGTGGCTAAGGCTCTGCTCCGGACGGGCAAGGGGTGGCACAAGGAACAGGGACTGGGCTGCAGTTTCTTCAGGAGAGGCGAGCCGGGAGCCGCGACAGTGACTCGGCTTGGCTGTCTGCATGGCTGAGACAGGGGTGTGGGGGGAGGAGAGCGGCAGGAGGCCGGGGTGGAGGGTGACTGGCGGCAGCGGCGGCGGCTCCTTTGCTCTGCTGTGAACAGGAATCTTCCAGATGCCAGCAGAGGACACATCCCAGGCTCTGCCCACCGTCCCCGCCCTCCCTGGCCCACCCGGCATGGTCTGGGCTTTTTTCCTGGAGAAGCTAAGAGCGCAGATCCCCGGGAAGGGAGGGGGACGTGGGCACGGGGCAGAAAGCCCATCTGGAGGGAAGAAGATGGGGCCACCGTACTAAGGGGACTCTACGGGGACTCAGGAGGAGACCCAGGGCCAGAGGGTGGGGTGGGGGCAGGGCAGGGCAGGCTGAAGACCCCTCCTCCCTGCTGGCACCCTGGGAGGGAGGGTGGGCTGTGGCTGATGAAGGAAGTGGAAGGGTCTGAGCGGAGTTGGGGGACTCGTTCTGGACACAGGGGGTGCTGCTTCTCCCAGGACTCTCCAGATTCTTCTGGGGTCATCCCCAAGTCCTCTACCCATGGCCGGCGGCCTCACTCAGTGTGGCAGTGGTGTGGACAGCTGTGGTCACTGCACTAGCATTTGGAGCCACATTACCTATGCGGGGCAATGTCGAGGGCCAGACCTACCCAGTCCCTGCCACCTGGCCCCTCAGCAACCCTCCACCTCCGCCCCAGGCATCTCTCAAGGGATTGCGCTTGGATTTTAGGGGGGTTGGAGAAGATAACTAAAGGTCCTTCCCAGGGGGCTCCTGTCCCAGCCTGGCCCTGCTTATCACTTCCGGTTAGAAACCTGCACAGGGTGGGGGCTCAGGACTCAGGGGTCACCTCCCCAGCTCCAGCCTGGCCTGGGTGTCGAGGCCTGCTCAGCTGGGTCCCTTCACCAGGGCCTCCGCCACGACTCCAGCCCAGGCCCAGGGAAGGCCTGAGTTAGACACTGAGGGCATAGGACCCCTACCCAGATGTTGGGGTGGTTCTGACAAGGTCTCTGCCTTTGGGGACAACTCTACCCCCAGAACAGAGAAAAAACATGGATGGTGGTGGTGGGGCCAGCAGCCGTGGGGAGGAGGAGTTCAGAGGAGGCTCCCAGGAGGAGGCAGAGAGTGGAGTCTGGCCCCAAGGCCTAGAGAGCAAGCAGGGAGGAGGTGGGGGACGGGGAGGATGGATGTCGAGGACCACTGTACAGGTGTCACACACGGTCAGTTCCTTGACCCTCAGGCTCAGAGGTGTCCTGTCACTTGCCCAGAGTGCACAGCGAGTGAGTGACCGGGGCTCTGTCCCAGCGGCCAAGGCCCTGGCTCCGCAGGAGGAAGCTGACCCTAGAGCAGGGCTGGGTGGGGGCAGGGTGAGCTCCTGGGACGCAGGGACAGCAGGTCTCACGGGCAGCCCTAGGGCTGGGGCAGGTGCTGGGACTCCAGGCCATCCTGGGGACTCCTGCAGGGGCCCCAGCCCTGAAACGGCAGGGACAGGCCAGGTGTCCCCAATGGCTCCGTCAGAAGGTGCTTGTCGTGGGGGGATCCCAGGTGCCCTCCGCCACCCCTGCCTCTCGAGTGGCTGGCCCTCCCTTCTGCCGCATCAGCAACAGCTATTTTTATTCCCTGAGTTTTCAGTCAACAGCCCTTGCTGGGGGATGGGCAGCCAGAGCAGTGAGAGGGGTTCGGGGAGCCAAAGGGTGGCAGGAGTGGCAGGGGCCCCTGTGCCCCTCTTAGGAAAGGGCGAAACCCCGATAATCACTGGACCACACTCTGTCTTTGAACTGGCTTATCAAACTTGGTACCCCACCCACCCCATGGGTGCTAAAAGGTCATGGTCCAGTTTAGACTGGGGCAGTGACATGGACCAGCCATCAAGAGCCAGGGTCCCTCTGAAGCCTTGAGGGCCTGGCTTCAGGTCCTGTTTATATGTAAGTAACATCCGGCAAGTTACTGATCTCTCTGCCTCAGTTTGCCCATCTGCCAAATGGGGGTGATAACAGGATCGTGGTGAGAATTAAATATGCTCGTGGACACATGAGGTGCCTGGAACAAAGTTTGGCATGCGGTCAGCTCTACATCAGTGTTCGCTAATATTATTGTGGCTATGACCAGGCTGTGGCGCTGAAATAAAATGTTTCGTCATGAGGATGAGACGGAGGGAAGGCCTGGGCTGTCCAGCCCTGGGCACCCTTCAGAGCTGGTGGGGGGGGACAGGGCGGGGGTTCCCATGTGATCTCCCTTGGCTGAGGGTCCTTCTGTGCAAGGGACTGCAGAGCCCCTTTTGGGAGGGCCTGCGGTCTGCAGATGCCGCCGGAAGGGCCGTGACGCAGCAGGGCAGAGTCCCCGAGGCTCACCTGCTCGTGAGATCTGCCATTGACTCGTACCTCTTTTGAGATTGGCAAGTTCTTGGTCAGCCTAAATTTGGAGAAGGATCTCCAAAGAGTAGTTGGTGAGGAAACATCCCTGGAGCAGTTTCTGGATGGAGTGAAGTTCCGCGAGCGGCAGGGCCGGCTATGGAAGGCACAGCCCTGGATCGAAGGAGCAGAGGCCACATCAGCCCTTCCTGGGGTTCCAGGCTGCAGCCAGAGGGCTGCTCCTCTAGTGTGGGTGACCGTGACCCCAACTCCCCGTGTCCCAAGGAGAAGGGCTCAAAGCCCACGCTCCCTGGATGGTTGAGGGGGTCGGTGGAAGGGCTGGGGAGCCAAGTCGGCCCTGATATTCTCCAGGCACAGGGGCAGGTCGGGTCTGACCAAGTTCCCTTGTCAGCCTCTTGGAGGCGCTGGCTGGGTGAGGGAGGCAGCTCTGTGTGCAGGGGGGACGTGTCCAAGGGCCCAGTGAGGTGGGCGTAGACGTGTGTGTAGACGGGGATGTGCACACACCAGGCTGGGGGCACCCATGGTGTCTGGGTCACTGTGCTTGGGGGCTCCTTAAAAAAATCCAAAGCCCAGTATGGTGGCATGCCCCTGTAGTCCCAGCTACTCGGGAGGCTGAGGCGGAAGATCTCTTGAGCCAGGAGTTCAAGGCCAGGCTGGGCAACATAGTGAGTCCTCATCTCTAAAAAAAAAAAAGAAAGAAAGAAAGAGAAAAAAAGATCCAAGCCAATAGAGGGCAGGAAGCCCCAGGCCTGGTGGAACAAATCAGCCTCCCCACCCTTTGGAGCAGCTGGGAAATGACTCATGCAGGCGATGAGTGAGTGAGCGTGAGCGTGTGTGTGTGCGCGCATGTGCACGACTGGGCCGTGATGAGGTTTGGGGCGAATATGAGGGTTGATTGGTGCAAACTGACCTGTAGTTTCCCCTGCTCCCCCCCCCACACACACACACAGCTGCACACAGCTCCCAACATGAAGCCTCTGACGACTGAGCGCAGCTCTGCCAGGGCCTGCCAGACGCTCGCCCCAGCCCACACCTTTCAGCTCAAGGACTCTGGCCTGCCCTTTGAAGCGGACAGATGGCTGAGGGCTGCGCCAGCCCCGAGGGGGACCTGGATGGGACCTCAACCTGGGCAGGCCTTGTGCTGGGGGAGGGCAGCTATGCCCAGCCCAGTTCCCCAAAGGGCTGGAGGAAGGCCGAGCCTGTAGTGGAAAGCACATGGGTTTGGCATGAGAGAGAGCTGCGTTCGAGTCCTGGCTCTGCTGCTTGTTAGCTGGGATGATGAAAGTGTAGCATTTGGAACGGTGCCTGGCATGTGACAAACACCAAGTGAACATGGCCACGATTGCTTTTGGTTAAGGAGTACTTTTTAAGCCTCCACCTCCTGGGCCTGTGTATGTCAGCAGGGTGGGTGGATCGGCTGAAATTTGGGGGACAGGGAACCAACCCCTCCCACTCCAAGGATAATCTTCCCCAAGCTGATGGAAGCCTGGGATGCCACATCTTGAGATGAATCCCTTTAACTTAAGGCTCAGACTTGGGAGAAGAAACCCATGCTGGGGCCTTGCTTCTGGGGACAAAAGGCTTCCAGGGCCGGCAGATGAGATGGGAGGTTCGAGGGAAGGGGGCACAGTGCATGGAACCCAAACAGCCCATTTGTGGGCTTTTATTTCATCAAGCCTGAGCCAACCAGAGCACTGTGGGTAGAGGGAAAGTCAAGCTTGGGAGAGGAGGCAGGTTGGGGAAAACTAACTAACGTTCTTGAGCACCTTTGGAGACTGGCAGGGAACAGGACTGATTGTGAGAGGAGGGGCTTCCAAGGTATCCTGAACAGGAAACCAACCTTGGTATACAGTAATCGCAAAATAAATGTGGCCACCACTATCATTCTTACCCATTGGGTAGAACAAATTACCAGACCAGTTGAATCCAGAGCCTTTTAGGGACCCGGCCTGTTCTGCCCCAGGGAGCCCTCACGGAAAATGCAATCAGCCTTAGCCCACCCCTCGCCCAGTACCCCCCACCCATGACTGCAGTTGGTTTCCGGAACTCTCGGATCCCCTGAGTGTCCAGAGGTTTCCGCCCTAGGCTCTGGGCTCCAGGCTGCCCTCCAAGGCCTCTTGGAGCAGATGTCCCCTGCAGAGTGTTAGGCCAGGAGGGGAGGGCCATCTGGG